CCAGCCTTGATTTGCAAATGATTCACAGAATTTATTTTTCCATATAGACCACTCTGAGTTTAGTGTTAATTTTATAATTCACAGTGTATTATCAATCGCGCAAAGCGCATCAAAATCAAAATTATAGAAATATAGTTTCTTTACATATATATAAAAGAAAAATTGAAAAGTTAAATTGGAAGTTAACTTTAAGTTAAGTTTCCGGCTTCAGCGATGTTCATGTTATTTATTATAGAGCCCTATTCAACCATGTAGAGGTTAAGAAAAGAAGAGGTCATTCAAAAAAGACGGACTGACAACATCAAAGAAGACTTCAAAATAGCACAACAAAAGGATCTGCTTTCGCTTGATCCCAACAACGAGGCGGATTCGTTTTCACAAAACTCAAGGCCTGTTTTCACTGGGTCTGTCAGTCAGTCGGTTGGCTTTCGCACAACCCTGGCCTGTTTTCACTGGGCCGTCAAGTCTGGTCGGCTTTCGCACAACCAAGGGCCTGTTTTCACTGGGCCTGTCAGTCAGTCGGTTGGCTTTCGCACAACCCGGGCTTGTTTTCACTGGGCCGTCGAGTCTGGTCGGCTTTCGCACAACCAACACAAATAATTTGGCGCAAAAAATTGATGGCAAAGAAAACAACGTCCTACATTGGGGAACTGGGTCTCTGGACGCTAAACGAAGATCTATTGATTGATAGTGTATTTTATTATTGTCCCTCTTGTCGGGAGTATTATTCTTCAGAAGTCTGGTTAGCGATGTTGTAGTTAATCCGATCTATGTATCAATAAATAAACATTTATATTCAGTGCACACAACGGCATATATGAATGGGGTTCAACTGAAGGTACACGCCAATCAATCATGTTACTGGGTATGATATGACATGGTATCAAAAGTCAATAATCTGGAAGCAGCCCTCATCAGAAAACAAAAAACTCTCATAAAAACTTAGATACTTGTAGAAACGTGAAAACTTATATAACAGCAAAAGTGGTCAAATTTAACATAAGAAGGAGTGACGAAAATGGAATACAAAAACATTTTTGCAAATTAAGAGGCTATAGCTAAAAAATTAATGTGCTTGAGTAAATGTAAGGCAAAACAATGGATACTTATTTCGTAAATGAAAGGAAAGCAAACAGTTGTGTTCATTATTGTTAAAGACATAGTTGGAAACAAAAAAAAAACAGAACAAACGAATATACCAAAAACAAATTTACCAAAAACTGGCTAAAATAATTACGATGGACGAGCTAATTTTTTATCAAAACCTGTGGATCATTATCATCTGTCCTTGAAATCTGTGCCCGAGGTCGTCTAATGGCCTGTTGGTTGTTTCCACCTATGTTTTTAAAGGAAGATTTACGTTCTTTACATTTTCATTTGTTACTTTCTCTTGCCGTTTAATGTGCAATATGGGGTAAGAACCGTAATCCCAAATGTCGTCAAGTACTTTCTACGTTCTGTTTCTTTGTGGTCCAGGCTTCAATTTTATAAAGCAACGTGATGATGACATATTTTAAAAGCTCGCTTAACTTTATACTAATGCTTATATCTGAAATTTTCCAGATTTTGTAGAATGCTTTAGCGGAATGGTGTTGTTGTTGCCCCTTCAACCAATTTCTATGCGGTTCAGGCGAGGCCTGAGCCAATCAGCAACCGCCGTTGGGTTTCGCCTCAGGTCTATTGTAGTGAGAACGTGGGATTCGCAGGGCAGTTGAACAAGTGGGGAACATCGTCCACATGCAAACGGCAGTGAGGGCAGTTGGTGTCTGTGCCTTAGTGGATCCTTCTCTTGTAGCTGCCGAAGAAGATATAATGGCCAGATCGAAGTTGAGCCAGAGTTCTTGTTGCTCGGGGGATGGTTTTTTTTGAACTATCTATTGAGGGCATTGGTGGAGGCCATCCATTGAGTAGTACGGGGACGTGGTATGATTCGGTGGCGGACTTGGCAGCCATTCCATGTCGTGGTTGATGTTGTAGTTGTGATCACAAAATTTGTGGTTGTTGTGCACATATATATATATATATATATATATATTTTTGGGTCTAATTATCTCAGATAATTTATCTTGGGCTGAACATATTAATACTATTTCTTCTAAATTAAGCAAAATTTTAGGTCTTCTTTATAAAATAAGATACAAACTTAATAAAACTACTTTAATATTGTTGTACAATGCATTTGTTTTTCCTCATCTATCATATTGTAATCTTATCTGGGGCAATAGCCCTGCTGTCAGT